TGCTCCTCGTCCTGGAATTGTTGTGAGGGTGCCAAGGCTCGTAGATCCCTGACTCTGAGCAAGGCAGGGTTTAAAGGTCGCAGTCAAGACCATTAATAACAAGGTGCAAACGGCTGGTTTATATGTAATGTGAAGCTTTTTACTTATTTCATTTTTGCACTTTGGGGGCTCTGTTTGCTTATGGAGCACTTGGTGTCTGGTACCTATTTAGGCTGAGAGCAGGCAATTGGGTTCCTTCAGGCCTTCAGAGGAATGCAGAAAATTGTTCTCTGGTGTTGTAATTCTGCTGGGATAACTGGAGCTTATTTGTCTCACTGCTTATTAAATGCATACTTGTCTTGAGGTCCTCTCCTTTTTTTTTTTTTTTTCCTGAGAAACATTGGGTGAATCCCAAGGACCACAAGTGAGAGGAAGATTCCAGGGGGAGGGGGAGAGCCAAGTGCCTGCACCTCTCCACGAGCTGCATCATCCACCTCCAGTGCCAGCAGAGTGAAGAGGTTAAATATGAGAGCAGACTCCCTGAGGGAAGGGAGACAAACGTAGGGGGCTCAGCCAGACATAAATTAACTTTGCCCTTCCCCCTGCTCGGGGATGAGACTCTGAGGGGAGCTGCACCTCCCAAACACTAATGGATGGGCTGTGTGGTTGGGAGCCACGTGAGGCTGTGCTGAGGTGTTGGAAGGGAGGTTGGGAGCAGATGTGAACTGGTGCTGAGCCCCTCACAGAGGGCACTGTGGGGGCAGAGGGGTTTCATGGAATCACAGAATATCCTGAGCTGGAAGGGACCCAACACTCATTGTCCAAACACTCCTGGAGCTCTGGCAGCCTTGGGGCCGTGACCACTGCCCTGGGGAGCCTGTTCAGTGCCAACCACCCCTGGGGGAAGAACCTCCCCTTCAGAGTTCACACTCCACCAGCCTCTGAGCAGTGTCCAGCTTACCCTGATTGCTGCTAAAAGGGACAGACTTCTGTCCCTCTCCTGCAGTTAATTAGAGCAGCTGCAGGGGTGACATATGTGCTGTTGCCATCTCTGTACATCAGCCAGGGTGACAGCAGCACTCACAGGGGGCTTCTGTGTTTTATGCACGGTGTTCTGCGCTCTGAATTCACCCCAAGTTACAACAAAGGTGGAGAAAGAGTAAAGGCAGCTTCAGTTTTCAGCTCTGCCTCCCGGCTCCCTCCTCCCTTCTGGAGCCTCCTCGGCAGGGTGTGCTCTGCCTGCCCCAGCCCTTCCACTGGAGGGACAGCCGCTGATCAGGGATGCTGCTCATGTGCTTGGAATTTTCCTCCTTCCCAGCCTGGGTTGCTGTGCTGCGCTCTTTGGTGGGATCCTGGGTGAGTGCGGTCACTGGGGAGAGCGAGGTAACACACCCACACTTACGGCATCACCGAGGGTGCATCCACCGTGATGAGTGTGCTCCTCCTTTGGGATCTTCCTCCTTTGCTTATTCCTGCCCAGTGACATTTTCCTCTCGCTCTGGACGCACCGAGTTGTGCAATCGCAGCGCGGCCCCGTCTGCCCGGACCCTTCTCTTCACAACCTCTTGATTCCTTTTCTAATTTGGCTGTGGGCTTTCATCAGCTATAAACCAGAGTGACACAGTATGTGACTGTTGCATTCTCCTGCCTTGACTCACTGGCTGCGATTCCAGAGCAGTGACCCCCTGCTGCTCTGCTGGAGCAGCCCTCTGTGACTCGGCGTCGGGAATAGGGGATGGGAAAGCTCCCACACGGATCTGTGACAGGCTCTGCAAATTCTACTCAAAATGCCCCAGTAAACCTGTCCCTGCCAGCTGGGTCTGTAACAGCAGGTGACCCCCACGATCACACTGATCACAGGCACCTGAGCAAAGCCTTTTGCACCTCTGAGAACCCCATGGAGAACAGAAAAGGCCCCACAGGAAGACAGGGGGTGTCGGGATTGGGGTGTAGTTGGGCACTGTTGTCGCTCTGCATGACTGGGCTGAAAAAATTAAGGATTTTACCACTTCATCCATCCAGAAAAACAGTGGTGTCACCTTGGTTAAGGCCTGTTGTCACTCCTGTGATTTGTTGAAAATCAGAACTGTAGAATCACCTGAGCTGGACCCAGAAGCAACATCAAAGTCCAGCTCCTGGCCCTGCACACGATCCTGTGTTTCCAGTGCCTTCTACCTGTGTGTCCTGTCCAGCTTCTTCAGAGGAGGTAATTTATTCAGAAACTCATTAAGCAATTAATTCTGCTCCTTGTCCTTAAGTTCAGCCATGCTTTTGACTGGAAGATAATTAGAAGATGATCTTGCATAAAAGGCTCCCTGCACGTTTTAGGCAGATTACTTAAGAGGGGCTTGTGAGAGGGACTGAGTGTTCCCTGACGAGACTGCAGCCTTCAGAAACGTTTAGAGATGGGAAACAGCTGCTTGCCCAGGATGAGTGTGCCGGGGGGAGATTCAGTGGGGCTCATCTGTGGGACGACAGACCAGACTGGATTTCCCTCAGCCCACAGCAGGATGTCGTCTTGCACAAGCACTGGGAGTTTGCTGGGGCTGACCAGTGCATTTCAATTCCCAGCCATTCTGCTGGGTTTTTTTTTGGCTAATTGCTTGTTAATAAATAAGGGAGTGTAGCCTTGCATAGCCCTTTGCAGGAGAAACTCTCCCTTCTTGTGTCAGGTGGACTGGAGCTCATCAGGCTGTGCCCGTGGCTGCTTCTCTGGGTGCTTCTGGAGCACTGCTACACTGCTTGCAAGTGTTTTAACTCCTGATTTACTGCTGTGACAGGGGAAGGCAGCCAGGCAGAGCATCCCACAGGACTGTAGAGGGTTCCTGTCTCAGCTGTGGTTTATTCCACAGAGCACTGAAGGCATCCAGTTCAGCATCTCTGGGATGACACGGGGGAAGGGGGAAGCCAATAAACCCAAGACAACCTGTCCTCAGGAGTTTCCCTCTTTGGTTTAAAATATGAACATCTGCACTCAGGGGGAGGATATATTTTGGCAGCAGCCATTGATTAAGGTGTCATTCATCAGGTGGGCCCACAGATCTGCTACAGACACTTCCCGGGGGTCCTCTGGAGAGGAAGAAGTGTTTGTTGACAGCTGACCCCAGGTCCCCAGGCACTGGATCCCTCCCAGTGTCCTGCTCTGGGAGGGAGGCTTGGATTGATGGCTGAGGGGGCAGCATTTTTTTCGAGTCTGTTGTAAATTGCTGGTAGGTGGAGCAGTAATGAAGATAAATGAGGGGCTCTTCCAGGTTGATCAGCCTGATGGCTCTGGCAGGCTTGGGATGCCTTTGGCCTGGCTCAGACCTCCCGCTCACCTGCCAGCATTCCTCAGCAGAAAATGGTCTCTGAATTTCCAGAGGGCTTGGAAAGGCCTGGAGGGGCTCCTGGGTCAACACCAGCTCGAGTGCAGGCTCTGCAAGAGCAGGGAAGGTGCTGCCCAGCCCTCTGGTGCTGCCAGCACAGGATTCAGAAGGGAGATGGTTTAATTCTGTAAGAAACAGGTTAGGTAGTGGGGAGGTGGGATCCCTGTAACTCTTTTTAAAAGAATTGTGTTAAAATGTCACCTTTTTGCTTGCCTGTGGCTCTGCAGCTCTGCTGAAGGTCCCTTTTCTGCACGAGCACTCTCGGTGGTCTGGCACGGAGGAAGGTGCTCTAATCTGGCCCATGGCAGGCTCTTTAAATTCCTTGAGCAGTTCCCATCAAAGCAGTTTTCAAAGTGGTTTTCTCTCCCCACTTAAACTAATATTTCCTAGGGCCATTGAGTAAAATCCCTGCTCAGAGATGCTCTGGGTGCAGTAGCCGATGGGTGGCTTAGGACCAGCATAATCTTCTTTGCCTTAATCCCATCCTGCTCCTTTGACCTTCCTCCAGACTTGGCTGTTGCAGCCTGCTCAGCTCCCTCTGCCCACACATCTCGCTGCTGCCAGGAGAAAACCCTCCCTGGAGAGCTCCCCCAGCCCCCTGGCAGCAGAAAAGCAGATCCCAACAACAAAAGCCTTTACAGGTGAATGTCCCCTTTGACTTGGCCTTTCCAATTGGCTTGGAACTTCCATGAAAATTTCCTCTGAGTGTGCAAAACATCCTCATCTGCCCGTAAGGGCAATGCTGAGCAACGTTAGGAAAACTCACCCCTTTTTTATTCTGGCTCAGGGAGGAGGCACAGCCTGCCTGGGGCAATGGGCAGCCCAGCTCTAGGTAGGGGGGGAAGTGCCAGAAGCAGCCTCAGGAATTGATGAAGGTAATTTCTCTTTTTTTACCTGGGGATGTTAAATTTGCAGGTGCAGCTTCGTTGTACATTACACCTGTTTGTGTGGACTGGGACCTTTTGACCAGGCTATAAAATAGCTGTACACCAAACAAGACATCTTTGTAATGCTCAAATTGGGGGGAAAAGAATTGAGGGAATTTCTAGGGATCAGAGGAGTGGATCCCTGTAACATGTGCAGTTGCCTGCCTCTCATCAGCGTCAGTTTTAGTTGATTACGTTTGGAGTGGTTGGTTTGGGTTTTTTTTTTTAATGGGAAAGGTTTGGAAGTTTGTCTGGCATCCCCTGTTTGACCCAGTAGTAGAGAGCATTGCAGTGGTTTGGGTGGTAAAGGACCTTAAAGCTCATCCCATTCCACCTCCTGCCACCTTCCACCAGCCCAGGTTGCTCCAAGCCCCGTCCAACCTGGCCTTGGACACTTCAGGGATGGGGCAGCCACATGTCCTCATGTGTGCTGCTGCTGAGGAAGGATTCCCCTGGGGCTTTGAATGCTGGATGCCATCCTCTGCTTTGTGGGAAGCTACAGATAACTCCTGGGAGGGGGGAGTCTGTGCTTTGGGGTGGTGGGAGCATCATCCCAAATGGTGGGTGCACCAGGGAGAAGAAACCCTGCAGGGTGGTTCCTGCTCTGGGGAAGTGACCCAGCTGGGCGCGTAGGAATTCAAAAAGCGAAGAACATCTTTTTCTGATATAGGTTTATAATGAATTTTTGACTTAAAATAATAATAAGCAGTATACACAACATACACGTGGGTTTTACAGAGATGCTCTTGTATCGTTGGCTTCAGAACCTACCAGTAAGTTCACAGGTTTCATTTGCTCTCTCTCAAGCCCTCTCTGTGCCCGCCAGCATTTAGAGGGTGACCCTTGTCCCTGTGCAGTCAGTCCTTCAGGGTTCAGTTCCAAATTTACAGCTCCTCTTGTCCCCCTGTGCTGGGGACGAGGGGACAAGCCTCGTGCAGAGGTGGCTCTTGCTCGGTGGGGTCCGGGGCGTGCCGGGTCTGCTCGAGGGGAAACGTGGGGATCACAGAACTGCCTCACGGATTCTCAACGCCCTTCCTCTGGCCTTGCACAAAAAAAAAAAAAAAAAAAAGGAAAAGCAAGAATGCTTTTGCGAGAGTGGATTATTCTGAACTAGAGGGTTGTGGGTTTTTTTTGCTGGTGAAGCTTTGCTGCCACGCAGATTCTCTGGGGAGGCGCAGGATTCCTCGGCCATCGCATCCTGACGGTCGGCCCTCCGAGCCCGTCTCGGTGGCACCGTCCCTTTGCAAAGAGAACCTTCGCAGGTTCCCAGTCCGAGCAAGGATCGCAGCCTCCTCCCTGCTCGGGGATTAGTTTTGCTGAGCAAACAGAAGGGCCCGCAGCTGCCTCCTGGGAAACGCAGTCCTTCCCTTAGTGCTTCGCGGAATTCATTAAATAAAAGCCATGCAGTTGAACTACAGCTCCCAGAACGTCACGGCCCTCAGGGCGCGGGGAGGAGGGTGGGGTTTACAAAAAAAAAAAAAAAAAAAAAAAAAAAAAAAAGAGAGAAATCGCGAGGGTGGGTGGCAGTGGATTCTTCCCCGGGGGTGCTCCCGTCTGTCTCCTCAGGTCTGGTCCAGCCACTCGGCCCGTTTGGGGGCCTTACAGGTGTGCACGTCCACAGTGTCCTCGCACTCCTTGCAGCGCACAGCGCAGCACCAGTGGAACTTGCACTCGCACTTGGTGACGCGGGTGACGCGCGTGGTGTCGTAGCCGCGCCCGCAGCACATCACCTCGCAGCCGTCCGTGCCGCGGGACAGCTTGTTGCACACCCGGCCCGCCGTGCCCAGGGAGCCTGGGGGAGGAAGGGAGGAAGGAAGGAATGGACACAACGTCAGGGGTTCCTCCTCCCACCCCAGCCCCACATTGTTTCTGTCACAGCACTTTGGAGCCTGCACTCACTGCGCCTTAAGGACATGGGATGCAGCAATCCTGGCCAGGGATGCAGCATCGGTGTCCCTGCCCGTGGTAGGAGGTTGGAAGGAGATGATCTTTAAGGTCCCTCCCAACCTCAATCCTTGTGGGATTCTATGACCCTCTGCATGGCCCCCTCCCCATGCCCACTGCTGGAGCCTGTGCCTGCTCCTGCCAGAGTGTAAGGGCAGTGGGGGACAGGGAGGGGGTCTGCACAGCCCCTCTGTGCCCAGGGGACCCCCAGAGCAGTGTGTGCCTGCTGAGCCAGGCTTTGCAGCTGGCAAAGCTGGGAATGCCCTCTTTGCTCAGGCTGAGGGTGGTGGGAGCACGTGCTGCCTTCCCCACCAGCCCCCACGGCTGCTGCCGACCCCTGACCCGGGGATGCTCCCAGCTGGGAAACCATTGATCATCTCTGCAGGAGCCCTGCAGCCCTGACGCCCCTTCCCCGCTCTCATCCCAGCCCCGGGCTGTGTTCTGAGGAGCAGCCTGTGCAGGGAGCAGGCTCTTTATTGCCTGTTCAAGGGAGCTCTGCCCTGCAGGGGACAGGCTCTGAGGAAACGCTGTGCTGCCTTCCTTACAAGAGGCCTGAGGGGCTTGGGGCTTTGGTGTAAAGCCTGGGGATTTTGGATGAACACAGTTCTGCCTGTGCAAGCCTGAGGTGCTGTGGATGACCCCCTCTCTGAGGGCTGGGGTTCTTTGGGGCAGCTGAGATCCCAAAGCTGGGCTAGCTGAGAGCTGCTCTGGGGCAGTGACTGGAGCTCTGGGTTTTACCTGCTGACTTGTCCATCACGCAGTAATCAGGTGAGTTCTCAAAATACACCAGATCTGTTTTCGTGGGCTTCCTGAAGTTCTTGTTGGCCACTGTGAAGCCGGTGCCGTCCTGGTTCATCGTCACCTGGATGGCCCCGTTGTATTTCTTCCTTAGGTAATCCCCTGTTTTTCGAAAATCTGACATTGCCAGCCAACAAGTCCTTAGTGTGCAGGAGCCGCTGACCCCGTGGCATTTGCACTCCAGCTTCAGGAAGCGCTTCACAGCCTGTGGGAAGAGGGATGTGTGAGGATTGGTGGTCACCCTGGGTGCCAGACACTGCACCCTTATCTGCTCACCCCTGGTGCAGCTCATCAGCTCTTGGCTGTGCAGGATGGGGCACTGGGATGGCAGGGCAGCATCCAGCCCTCATCCACAGAAGGACCTGCCCTCCATGGACACCAAAGTCCTGCTTCTATGCCCAAGCTGTTCCCTTTGGGAGGCCCAGGTGGGATGGCTGGCACTGGGGGGGTTCACTCACCATCCTCCCACAGCGGTTGTTGTGCAGGTTCATCAGCGCCCGGGCGTCCTTCACTTTCTTCTCCTTGGCGTCCACGAAGGCCTTGGCGAAGCGGATGCCGTAGTTGATGTTGTCGCTGCAGCCGCCCCAGTCGAACTCCCCGCGCTCGTCCTTGGAGCGGCCCCTCTTGAGCGGGTCACAGCCGCACACCTTGAGGTCCCCCTGGCTGCAGGCCCGGGTGATGGCATAGACCACCCCTGCCGAGGAGATGGCGTAGACAAAGGCGGCCTCCCTGCTGCCTGGAGCGGGGGAGAGGAGCAGGGATGGGGAGTGAGCGTGCCAGGCCGTGCCAGGCGTCTGCCAGGCACCCACCCTGCGCGCGGGTAAAGCCAAACCCACCGCTGGCTTCCCCGGTGCCCTCCTGACCGCGGGGGATTATCGGGAGCCGTGCCCACGTGTGCTGAGTCTGCAGGGCCAGCCAGCACCCTTCAGCCAAGGCCACCTCCCTGCCTCCCGGGGCGATGGAGAGCACGGAGCCGGCGCCAGCTCCGGCTCTCCCCGCGTGGCGCAGCTTGCGCCTGCTATTTTATGTCTCCGCTTCAAGTTCGCAGCTGTTTTTATAACGCTGTAAAAGAAGCTGCAAATCAAAACCATGCTCGTCTTCATTTCGAGGAGCCTTTGAAAGCAACTTCAAAGGCAGCGGAGCTCTCTTTGGGCCTCGCAGGATGGGGCTGTGGCGAGGAGCTTTCATCATTCCCCATCCTTTGCCAGGAGAGGATGCGAGCAGGAGGGAAGGTGCCGTGGTGGGGATGGAGAGGCTGAGAGCGGGCAGGCTGCAGCATGGCAGGGTGAGAGCTACACCCTGGTATTCCAGTCCCCTTCTCCCCAAGCCAGGGCCTTGTCAGGGGTCTGGCTCTTGGCTCTGCTGCTTGCTCGCCCCATGGGCAGCTGCCCCATCCCCCCGCCAGCTGGGAGCAAGCCCCCCACTCCCTCCACAGCGCTCACATGTCCTCCATATGAGCTGGGAGTGGGAAGGCTCTTCCAGCCGCCTTTGATTTGGAGGCTGCATGGCTGGATGCTCCGGCACGTCACGGGATGCAGCAGCATCTGTCCCGCAGTGCCGCTGCCTGTGCCGGTGCTCCCGTGGCCCATTCCCTGCCGGAGCCCTCCCAGAGGCAGCTGGAGCTCCTGATGCTGCTCCCACTCTGGAACTGCCCCATCCCTGTCCCCACCACACCTTTCCTTGGGTACATCCCTGCTTGTATCGTATCTGTCCCTCCTGTGGAGCAGGAAGGTCCCTCCTGGGCAGGGGCTGTGCCCAGCCCTTTGCTCGAGGCTGGCACCTGCCCCGTATCCATGGTCCTCCTCCACCTTGGAGCCCGAAGCGAGGCCTGGAGCTGTGGCTCTGCCTTGCCTCCCTTGCCATGCGAGGGAACAGCCAGTTCCCACGTGAATTGCTGAGTCCTGGCCAACCCTGCTCTCCAAATATTTATATATCCCATTACTGTTTACATATGAGCCTGTTCTCCGGAGGTGTCTCCTCCTTCCCCCTTCTCCCCCAGTGCTCCCCCTGCTCCATCTCATCTGGTGCAGCTATTCCAAACGCAGTGCTCTGCTCCCATTACTGCTTGATTAATTTACAGGGAAAGGCAAAGCTCTCCTAAGGGAGTAATCCAAGCCACCGGGCACGGCAGCCCAGCGAGAGGAGAGGCTCCCAGGAAGCCGAGGGTGGGAAGGGGATGGGGCAGAACCTACTTCGCAGCATGACCCGGCCGAAGACGGTGTGGTCGCGGTCCAGGGTGCTGCAGTTCCAGCGGTGGTGCCGGAATTGGTGCTGGCACTCCCGGATCCACTCCTTGGCTCCCTCCCCGACCGACTGCATGATGTCAGGGTACCTCTGGCACAGCTGCCGCTGCTTGTTCACCAGCCCGGGGATGTTGTCGCAGATCACCCTCGCGCCCAGCGCCCCGATGTACCTGCCAGAGAGAACAGTGCCACGTTACTGCCCTGCCTGCTGGGAATCTTGGACCATCCCGAGCTGGAAGGGACCCACAGGGATCATCCAGTCCAACTCCTGGGCCTGCACAGGACAACCCCCAAAAATCCCACCATGTTCCTGAGAGCGTTGTCCAAATGCTCCTTGAGCTCTGGCAGCCTTGGAGGCTGTGACCACTGCCCTGGGGAGCCTGTTCAGTGCCCAACCACCCTCTGGGGGAAGAACCTTTCCCTGATATCCAGCCCAAACTGCCCTGACACAGCTCCAGCCATTCCCTCAGGTGCTGTCACTGCTCACAGAGAGCAGAGAGCAGACCTTCACCTCATGAGGAAACTGCATACCCCGGTGATGTCTCCTCCAGGCTGAACAAACCAAGTGACCCCACTCTCACCCTGCTCGGGGGGTCTTATATTGAAGCCCACCTTCCCTTCTTTCCTTTCTACCTGTGTCAAAGCTGCTCTGGGCTCTGCCCAGGGTGTCCCCCAACAGCAGTGAGCCCTCCTTGCAGCATCCCCTTGGTGTGGGCAAGCTGTGGAGCTCATGGTGAGACCTGCCCGGGGCCGTGGTTCAGACAGGCAGGACACAGGGACAGGGCACTGCTGAACCATCACAGCCACTGGCCTTCAGTCTTTGTGTTCAGTATAATGGGGTGGACAAAGCTCTGCTCTGTGCAGGCAAGGAGCAGGGGTCTGTGGAGAACATCTGCCCCAGGAGGCAGCCAGCTCTGGGGGCTGTGAGTCATGGGATGAGCCCCACGAGCCTGGGCTCTGTCAGCTCCTGGGGTGGCAGCAGAGGAACTTGCTGATGTGCAAAACCTCCCTCCCACCCTCTTCCCTACATCCCAGCCCTGCCTGGCCCTGCTGAGCACAGCAGGATGGAGCCCAGCTGAGCCCAGCATGGCTGGTGCAGGCTCTGTCCTGTCTCCTGCTTGCACTCCATGGGCACAGTGCCCCTGGCACAGCCCCCTGTGCCATGTGCAGGTAGGGAAGGAAGAGGACCAGGTTTCACCTGTTGTTGCTACAGTCCACACTGTTATCCCCCAGCTGTTGATTCCTCTCTGTGCACCTCCTGCACTGGTGAACACTCATGATCATGCCCTGAGGTTGCATAAGTGGGAGAACTGTGTCTCCTGTCCTGGCTGTGTCCCACCTGCATCCCTGTCCCCTCCCTGCGGCCGCGGGACGCAGCGGGAGCTCGGAGCAGGAAGACAACGCACAAACAACAGTCTGGCAGAGCCTGGCTGAGCCCCACGGGCAGTTTTCCATGGCCACGGGAGAGGGCCCCTGAGCTCTGCCCTGCACCATCCTGGACAGTGGCAGCACCGTGGAATTTTCCATCCCTCTCAGCTCCCGCCTGCGCCACCCGCTCGCCCCTCTGGCTGCCTGTGCTGGAGGACGATGTTTGCTGCAGAGCACGGAGCTGGGATTCTGGCTGGAAGGGATGAGGTTTGGGTGGGATTCAGATTTTTTCTAGCCCCCAGCCTGGAAGTAAAAACCTTCCTTTAATAACAATAAAAAGCAATAAGCTCGGACAATATTTCATTGTCTCTCTCTGGCCACGTTCTATCACTTCTGTCCGCCCCAGAGAGAGCTCCCAAGCTCAGGAAAGCCCTGCGAGCACAGAAAGCAGTGGGATCTGTTCCCCTTTTTAAAATATTTTGTTTAAATGCTGGCAGAAGCACAAGGTCATCTCGGGCTGGAGCTGAGGATAATAAACCCGGCTCCCCACGGCTTTGTGAGCCCAGACTCAGAGGGGCAGCGAGCACTATTGTCCCAGGCATGCTCACCAGCCTTTCATCCTGCAGCACAGGGACAGGGACATGGCAGGGGACTTTTAGGAAAGAAAAGCCAACAGGAGCTCATCAAGCAATGTGAACTGAGGGTATTTTGTTGCCTTGCTCGTGCCAGGCTGTGAGAGCAGCTGGTGAGTGGGGCAGGGAGGACGAGCATCCCACCAGCTGGATAATGGCACGGTGGTCTTGAGCAGAGGTCCTGTGGGGAAGTGTGGCCAGGCACCTGGCCCTAAATTCCTTCTGCCCAGCAAGGATGGGGATGGCTGGCATGTCCCTGCCAAGGGCAGGGATGAGGTGCTGGGAGGCAGGGGGCTTGCAGGATGGAGGTTCAGCAGAGCCAAAGCTCCCCTTTGCTGGGGAAGCTGTAGAAGGTAAAATGTTCTGTGATGGGCCACCTCACCAGGGACCTCATAGAGACCCTGTCCCCAGCTGGGGCACCAGTCTCTGGGCTGGGAGTGGGCTGGGACACAGCATCTGGCAGAGGAGCCGCCTCCCAGAGCGGAGTGACGGATAAAGCACTGACTAACACCATCCCCTGGGAGACCGAGATCAAGGGAAACCCTCCAGACAAGATAAACACCAGGCACTCCCTTTTTCACACTGGAAGCTAATTACTTCTCCTTAATTCTCCTGCCAAACACCCAGATCAGAGCAAACATTATCAGCAGGAGAAAGTGGAAGGAGAGCAGGGCGAAGGGCACCGACCGCCGTGTGGTTCCCCAGTGGCTGCATCTCCCTCTGCCTATGGCTGAGAACAAGCAGAGTATTTACAGCAGTACCTATAGGATTCCATCAGAGGTTATGTGCTAAAACCCATGGCACAAGGAGGGGGAAAGTGTCCTGGGAAGGCTGTGGTTATCTCAGCAAGGCTCGCTGAGAAAAGCTCCAGTTGGGCTCAGTTACTCTAAAATGCAGCGAGACAGGGAACATCAGAATATTCTGCCAAGCAGAGCTCTGGGAGGGAAAAAACCCAAACATTTGTTTTGGATGGATGAAAGCATCCCTTCCGATTTTATTTCTCTGAGTCTGTGACATTTTAAAAACACTGCAATAGGGAAAGACAATGGATGTTCTGAGAAGTCCCCAGCTGCCTTATCAGAACCTCGTTTTTAAAAGAATGAAGCCGTGCTGGAAGTGGCACATTTCTATGCAGTGCTGTACTCTGGGGGGAATCTGCATTTTTCCAGCTGGAAAAAAAAAACACCAAAAAACAAACCACAACACCAAAACCCAAGCCATGAGTTCAGAAAAGACTGTGAGAAGGAACTGCTCCTGATGCTGGTGGCTGTTCAGGCCTGGACCTCATGGCTGGGACGAGAGAAGTAGAAGCAGGAGCTGGGCAGGCTGCAGCGAGGAGGAGCTGGGAGGGAGGAAGGGAGGGGATAATTAAGTACATGTGGGGATAACGATCCTCCACCCTGTCCAACGGGGTTCCTTGGGCTGCTGCCTCTTGGGAGCTCCTCATGCAGGTCCATAAAGCCTTGGCATCATCCTTGCCTCGTGCAGAGTTGTTTGCCCAGCTTGGGCGAGGGGCTGCCACAACCCCTCTGACCCCCTTTTCCTGGCTGATGCTGCGGTGTTACCTCTTGCTGATCGGTGTGCGATCCCAGGCTGGGTGTATTCCCTGCTCTCTCCCAGAATTTCGCTGCCAGGAGCCGGCTGTGAGCCGCCCATGCCGCGGGACACGCTGTGCTGCACACCCAGCGCTGGGATCTCCCGCCCCGCAAGGCAGCAACAACGGAGGATGGAGAGATTTTGTGTTCCCAAGGCAGGTGCTTTCGGAGCCTGCGAGGTCAAGCCCTCCTCCCTCTTCCTCCCTCTCTCGCTGCCAGCCTTCCTCCTCCCTGCGAGTTGCACGGATGCACACCCAGCTGCAGCGAGCTCTTCCCAAAATCCTGCGGAGCGCCCGATGCGCGAGGGAGAACAGGAGACGAGCGTCACGTGCCGGCTCCCCGTTGTTGTTCTTGCCGAGAGTCTGCTGACTTCGGCTCTTGTAAACAAGGAGAAACCTAAATTGCTTCTAAGATAAACATGCAAATCGGAGGCAGACGCATCTATTTACTTGGCAGCGTGCGGGCTGCGCTAACCCCCTTCCCGCGGCTCGACTCCGTGCTGCGTGCGCGCTGCTCCCGCGCTTCCCACAAGAGCCTGCCCCGGCTTCCCGAAGGACTCGCCGGCTCCACGGGGTGCTCTGCCCCAAGTCGTGTCTCTGCCCCCTGCTCTGGTGCCAGGCTGAGCTCAGGCAGAGCTCAGAACAGCTCACAGCTTTTCCATGTCTGTTTTCCTCCCTGAGGGTTAGGAGGAGATCCCCGCGGTTCCATGTGGGCCGTGAGTTCCTGGGATCTGCTGCATCTTGTCCCAGGGATCGTGTCCCAGTACGCCTCGTTCCTTCTCCACCTTCACTGTGCTGGATCACTAAACTGTGCTTTTGGCCATGGCAGGGAGTATTGCAGCTTCCCAGTGGCTTTGCTCAATGGTGGGAAAAAGCAAAAGGCTCAGGAAAAGCTCCGTAGGTGCAGCAGTGGGGAGAGGGAGAGCATGGCCAGAGCCTAAGGCACCTCAGCAACAGGCAGATGGGAATTCCTGCTGGAGAAAGGCCACCTCTGTGGCAGCCCAGGCCAGCCAGCCCCAAATGGCTCAGCCAGGTGAGCAAATCTGCTGGGCAGGTGCTGAGGGAACTGTAACTCCCTAGATCAGAGAAGGAGGAGGCTGCCAAAGGGAATTGAGTTTCAGTTTCCTTAGATATTAACAACCCCCTGCAATATAGACCTGGGACACCTCCAGGACAGGCTGAGCTGGGGCCACGCCACTGTTCTGGACTCAGTGGGAGATACCAGGTAGGAAATGTCTCTTAGAAAATGAGGTTTTGAAGAAAAGGAATGCATGTCATGGGAATTGGTAAAATTACATGGAATCAGGGCTTGCTCTGGTTGCTCTTCCATAATGCCAAGGTGTTCCTGAGAAATAAATGAGTGCCCTAATTTAGTTTCTAATGAAATTTTAGTAGGCACTGCTGTGCCTAACATTTCGTTTTTCACCATTTCATATGGCACTGGAAAACCTATTTGAGCACGACTCGATTTCAAAAGGGAAGTTTTTGGAATTGCCATTCTCAGGCAAATCTCAGCATCTTTGAGCTGTGAATTAAAACAGCTGCTGAAACATCGGAAGTTCCCGCTGTGGGGAAA